GGGTTAGGAGATTCCCAAACTAGAATATGAGAACACACACACAGATACTGGTCAACTTGTATTACATAACCTCTGTGTAATATAAGAGGAAAAAAATTAATCTGTTTAGCATGTGTAGACTTCCAAGAGGGTTCCAAATTTAATAACACTGAAGATTCTGTGCATCTTTGAAGCTTATTTTCTGTTAATATATTTTACACATGCGTGCCTGTTGTGTTACACTGGCATTAAGTGGTCTCCTGATAGTACAGTGGTAAGTCTATGCTCTTACAATGCTAAAGTCTAGGCTTCAATTCTCCATGGTACACACAGCAGATAGCCCAATGTGGCTTTGCTCTCAAACAACAGTAACAGTTGTATGTAACAGTACGTATGTATGTACTATATTAATACATACATTGCCAATATCTCTTAAGCTATATGTTAACAGGGCACTTATTACCTGTTTTTTACTTTTCTTTGTTTTCAATGCCAAAACTTGTAGATTTGGACAGGTTCAATCTTTATTTTCTTTTGTTAAGGTTGAAGATTAAGTCTATAGTCCATACTTTTAGTGTTGAGGCTTAAGTCAATGATCTTTTTACCAATTATTCTGTGTTTTTGTTTCAGTTATATATAGAACTTTCTGTGGATGTTTGGTTTATATATTGTGAAGTAGGTTTATTATGCTAATTTTACATTGTTAACCAGACATTCTAAGGTTGTGCTAGTTCTAAAAAGTTGTGTGTGTATCTCTAATGTGTATGTACTTTAATACCATTATGATTTGGTCAGGGTGGGGTAGGGATTCTGACAGTAAAAGATCGCTATTATTAACTTTACTCGAACAGCTACATTTTGTTGTAGAAACTGGAGCTGCTTTTTAATGGTTTCAATTAAAGAAAGGCCTGTGTACAATTAAATCTTAATATTTATATCATCATGGCTGGGAGAATATGTAAAGATAGATGTTTGTGAAAGTTAGTATTTAAAGAAAACAAAGGATTTTAGGAATTCTGTGCTCTAAATAAAATTAAAGAATTTATTTGAATGTGTAAGAAATTGGAAGGCTACTTTAGCCTATACGACCATGTCATGTGGATTTTCTTAATGAAAACTGGTTTCCAAGTCTTCTTCTAGCTGAAACAGTACAAGTTAAACATTTTGGAATATATACTTATCAAGCTTAGGATTTGATAGTAAGCTTTTCTTGTAAGCCTTCCTCATTTTTTTGTTTAAAGAAATTTAAAAACATCTATACAAGCCTGTAAATAACATGTGCCCATTGAATTTGAGAACCACTTGAGGCCCATTGATGACTGATATGACTAAATGTAAATCTTTTCATGATGATGATGATGTTTTAATTGGTTAAAAAGTTCTAGGGCATTTTGAAAACATAGGATTAAGTGCAAATTGTGTGTTTTGAATATAAAGAAATATTCTTAAGTTCATTTTATGCATTTTTCTATGAATTCAATGATCTTTGAGTATCACTTTTTTTCCACAGTCTTCATATAAATATTAGATATTTTGTTCGTATACGAAAGTACAAGTCAAGTGTGTTTATAAATGTAGGGGATTACCTGTATGCATTTCTCTTGTTTACTTAAACAGTAGCAGTTTTTAGTTAGTTTATTTTTTAATTGTAAGCTTTTGTCATTCTTCTACTCTTTTAATATAATTTATTATTTCCTTGTGTCTTGATCTTATTGTAGTTTTGACAATTTTTGTGTGGCCTTTAGTGCAAGAAAAATCAACTAAAATTAGAATTTCACCTGTTAGCAGTAGTCACATTGAGAAAGTTAATTAATGTGAAATGACACATGAGACTGTTTATTTTATTTTTTGAGAATTAAACTTAATATCATAGTTTATAATTGCAAAAGGCTTGATCTATCTGTGGCATAGATTTGGTCATAATGTAAAGTAAGTCTCTACAGTTGGTTTGCTTTTAAAAAAATAAATCACTGCTTCTAAGCTTTCCTATGAGAGGTAAGAGTTGAATTTTGTAAAACCTTTGAGCTTCTGATATAGTATTTTCCTTTCTGCTAGCTAAGCTTTCGAGAATGTAAAATAAAAGCTAAATTTAGTTAGTCACATCTTGTTACTAATGATATTGTGTTTTAGAGGTGATATTAACCATTAATTTTATTACTGTTTCTTTAAGAATATTTTAAAAATTCTTTAGTAATTTGATTTATTGCTTCTCTAAAATATTCTACTTCATTGGTTAGAAATTAACATTTAATACCATTCTGAGGCTTATATCAAATGATATTTCCAATAGAAGACAAGGCTTATCAAATGCACACAGTCATACTCAATAACCATTTTTATTTATTATATTTCATATCTCACTTCCCATTTAATATCAACAGTACACATGCTTAGCTGAAATAATATATTAAATATATATTTCATTACTGTCTGGGAAGAAATCATTTCAGTTGTGCACATTCCTGATTTTAACTATTTCTTCAGTTTATCTTAGCAGAGTGGCTAAATATCCTACCAGATGTGCACTTTCCTGATTTTAACTATTTCTTCAGTTTATCTTATCAGAGTGGCCATATATCCTACCAGATGTGCACATTCCTGATCTTAACTATTTCTTCAGTTTATTTTATCAGAGTGGCCAAATATCCTACCAGATGTGCACATTCCTGATCTTAACTAACTCTGATAAAATAAACCGAAGAAAAAAAAAAGCCATCTTCATCTTTTTTGTTACACTGACAAAAGTAGTAAAAATATAAGGTTAAACATTCAACAACTCTATTAGACCAGTTTGTTAATACACATTGTTTAAAAGTTTTGAAACTTGAACTTTCCGTTAGTAATAATTTAACAGTGCGAGTAATACAGAAGTAGTGTACAAGATAAAAAAAAAAATGGAATTGTCTTAATGTTTAATGTAATGCTTGATTTACTGATACAGGGTCAACAACTGACAATCATGTAAATCACAAATACCAGACAATATTTTAACTCCGAAAAAATTCTTGTATGTTAAATAACATATACTAAACACATGTAGATTACTGCAAAATATGTAGCCAGACATAAGAATGGTATTAAAAATGGATTTCAACAAGACTGTGTACAGTTAGCAAGTGTGTTGGCAAGTGAAACAATTTCTCAGTAAATATTACAGGGGAATTCTTGTATATTAATAACATATTTTAGAGTTTAAAAATAAATTATTAAAACATTTCTTTATATCCGAGTGAGATAAAAAACACTATATAACTTATTTCAACAGTGTGTATACACTTGGCATGATTTTTGACCAATCACATTTGAAACAGACTAAATAAATGGCTTCAAACTGGAATGTGCACATCTGGTAGGAAATTTGGCCATTCTGATAACATAAACTGAAGAAATAGTTAAAATCAGGAATGTGCACAACTGGTATGATATTTGGCCACTGCTTTTTTGTGTTTTTGGTTTGGGTAATGTTAGTGAATGTGGTGATTTTTTGTAACCTTAACGATCTCATGTAACTATTTAAAATAATGTTAATGAACATGTTACCTCTTAAAGTGACATTTACTAGTTAGTAGGGTCACTGAAAGCAACTTTAATGAGCTCATATGATTACCAAAAATAACTGTGAGACTTCCAAGTTCATTATAAAAATGGTCCTTATGACTTAATGAGACTTTTGAAGAAAATATTTAAAATTGTGGAACACATTAACATATTCTCTATAAGATGAAAATAGGTAGTGAAGAATGCAAGAATGATCATTCTTGAACAACATCTATAGACAAACATATGATGTGAAAAATAAAGACATCATTCATGTAACTGTTCTGGAGCAAAACACAAAATTCAATTCAAAACTATCTGATAATGAACCACTGAAAGCAACACTGATGAGGATGAGTTTGGGTAATGTTAGTGAATGTAATGATTTTTTGTAACCTTGTTTAGTTCATGTAACCACTGAAAGCAACACTGATGAGTTTGGGTAATGTTAGTGAATGTAATGATTTTTTGTAACCTTGTTTAGTTCATGTAACCACTGAAAGCAACACTGATGAGGTTGGGTAATGTTAGTGAATGTAATGATTTTTTGTAACCTTGTTTAGTTCATGTAGTGTTGCTTTCAGTGGTTACATGAAACTAAACAAGGTTACAAAAAATCATCACATTCACTAACATTACCCAAACTCATCACTGCTACTTTCAGTGGTTACATGAATTAATCAATATTACAAAGAATCAACACATTCACTAACATTACCCAACCTCATCAGTGTTGCTTTCAGTGGTTACATGAACTAAACAAGGTTACAAAAAATCATCACATTCACTAACATTACCCAAACTCATCAGTGTTACTTTCAGTGGTTACATG